TCCAGATTATTAAATGAATATATTACAACATGAAGGAGTGGTTTGTGAATTTTATTGTGTTTTTGGTATGTGCTTTTGGCTAACTCAGTCAGAGGGAAGCAGCTTTGATTTCCTTAATAGGTGAAGAACACCTGTATCTTCTCTAACCTTGGTACTCCCTACAGTTGGATGTAATGGGTCGGTGACAAAAGAAATGATGAGAAGACCTGATGAATATAGCTTCAGAGGTCTCACTGAGATTAATCTCCCTGGAAGTGAGTCCAGAGCCTCAGAAGCATCTCACATTTATTGAAGGCTAAAGGCAGGCTAAGGAATGTGTATAATTACTTCAGTGAACATGAACTACTATCTCTGTCAACTTCCACCAGTTGCCAAACAACAAGGTGCTAGCAGGAGAAGCTGTTGTTATCTGCAGCATTAAATCCCAGCTTGCCAGGATTTATAAGTGAAATACAGCAGCTCTCCTTGGGCTCTGTGTATTGCTCCTTGCTCCCTTGGAACATTAAGACTTTGGTCTCATATCTGTATTTCTATACCCTACAATTTGCTTATATTTCCTTCTTTCCTCTTTTTTTTTTTTTTTTTGGTGGAATTGAACTCAGGCCCTTGCACTTTCCAGGCAAGTGTTTATTCTACTGAGCTATCTCCCTGGCCCCCTCTTTTTTTTTTTTTTTTTGGTGGAATTGAACTCAGGCCCTTGCACTTTCCAGGCAAGTGTTTATTCTACTGAGCTATCTCCCTGGCCCCCTCTTTTTTTTTTTTTTTTAGTGTATGTATTTGGTATAGGGTCTCACTATGCAGCTCAAACTTGTAGTGATTCCACTGTTTTCAGCCTCCCCAGTGCTGGGATTACAGGCACGTGCCACCACGCCCAAACTCAGTGTGCTGCTGGGGGCGGGGCCAGCATGGCATGGGATGCTAGGGATCAAACCCTGGTCCCTATGCTTGCCTAAGCAGGCGCTTAGTCCTCTGAGCTAGCTCGCCGGCCCTAATTTGCTTATATTCCTTATCCCAGTCTTTTTCATTCTTATCCATGTGAAAATTATCCTTATTATATATTTTTTTCTTGGCCAGTTTGTATTAATGTTACATATTTTCTTATTTTAAATTTTATTTTTATGTATTTAGTATAAGAACTTACTATGTAGCTTGGACTCATAGTGATCCTCCTATTTTCAGGCTCCCCAGTGCTGGGAGTATAGGCATGGGCCAACATGCTTAGTCTTGGTGACCCGCTTAGTGTGCCAGGACTGGGCCGGCATGGCATATAGTGAACCCATGTTTGTACCCCTGTCCCAGTCTCCTGCGCTATCTTGCCAGTCCCTGACAATACTGTTTATATAGGAACTTTCTGTAGCTCAAGAAATAGATTCAGTTTTTTTCTTTTTTTTTTAAAGTGAATTTAGGACAGGGTCTGCAGGGTGTACAAGGTCTCACTATGTAGATCAGACTCATAGTGATTCTCCCGTTTTCAGCCTCTCAAGTGCTGGGATTATAGGCGTGTACCACCATGCTCAGTCTCCATCACGTCAGCACACCCTGGGGAGGGGGCTGGCATGGCACTCCGGGGATCAAACACCGGCCGCTGTGCTCTGCCTAAGCAGGCACTTTAGTCTGCTGAGCTATCTATCTGGCTGGCCCTATTTTTTTTTTTTTAATTTAGAAATTTATTGTTTAATCCACAAGCTTCATATAGCTTTAGTTTAAAAAACAAAAACAAAAAAACAAAACAGTGAAACCAAGACACTATGTCAAAGTTCGGGCCCTTCTTCCAGCTTCCAAATACAAGAGCTCTGAACATTATATATCCCAATTGAAAGAATAAGAAAAAAGTATGAATGGAGCCATGACATTTCAAAAAACAAAGATTTCATATAACTGAAGGATCTATCCTTCCTTCCTGGGATGACTAAACTGCAGGAGGAAAGGGGCAGGGGGAGTTGGTGACAAGGGAGGGAGGAGAGAAAAGAAACCCAGAACAGAGTAGAATCCAGTTCCAGTGTTCTGAATCAACATGTCACACATCCGTGTAAGCCTGGTGTCCCGGAAAACAAGCTTTCATTTCTCTGTCTCAACCTGGAGCTTGAATCCTGATTCCTTTCAGCAGCGATTCCACAGGCGACAGGGAAGATTGTGGCACTGGAACATCCACTTATGCTTCTGTGGTACTCCACCAGGGGTCTGACTCTGGACTAGATCCTAACCAACATTCCCCCCTAGGACTGTGGGGACACTTGAGCCTTCCGCATGGATC